AAAACTAATCCAAAAAATAATAGAACAAAACAAAGGTTCTTAAGAGTGGTGATCAAGCATCCTAATACCTCCCTTTAAAAAGGGGAGACAGATCTTCTTTCTTTTTCTTCTTCTTCTTTTTTTTTATATAGACATAACTCTGTTCTGTTTTTCAATATACCTCTAGCAGGCTGCCTAAATAAAATAATCTGGAAAATAAGAATATCAGAAAAGAACCGAAAAGAAGAAACAAACTTGATACATAGAGGACAAAAAGGATAGCAACAGCAGAGATAAAAACATTTTGATAGTAAGACACTAGAAATACAGATATACGACGTAGATCCAAGGTGAAGAACATTAAAAACTGGGTACGAAATAGAAGAGTAGAATGGAACGATCATATAAGCCGAATGACAACAAATAGAGTAGTAAAGACAGCAAGAGACGGTTCACCAATAGAAAGACGATCAGTAGGAAGACCGTGAAAACAATGTAACGACAACTTACTGGATACACACTGAAAAGCAGACAGAGGCATGTCTTTATAAAAAAAAAAGAAAAAGAAGAAAAAGAAGGAAGAGACAGAGAAAAGTGGGCAAGAAAAGAAAGACGAAAAAGAGCAGCTTGGAGAGCTGAAAGATAATCGTAGACAAGAAAATGAAGACGATAAAGAGTGGCGTAGAAAAGTTGTAATAGAAATCATAAATATTTTATCTCAAATAGGTACAACGGTATAAAATTTTAAAAAAACGATTTAAAAATCAACATAGACAAACAACGAAACTACTAAAACGATTTAAAACAATAACAAAAATCTTTAAAATCTAATTTAGTTGAAATTGACAGAAAAACAAAAGTTGAATTAGAAAAGAAAATTAAGAAGTCAGAACCGCAGATCACCAACAATCTATTTAATCCCAGATTTTATGCATAGTGCAGAATCTTCAACAAAAATCCTAAAACAAAACGAAAAATATTTTATCTGTGGAAGAATAGGACACTTAATGATTCTAAATGCCGATCCCAGGCAAGTACAAAAGAACCAAGTATTTTGGTCAAAAACTTAACTTTTACTCCGATTAACATTTACAAGTCTGATAAATAGTTCTTCTACAAAGACTAGTACGTATGTGTCTCCAAGAAATCGATTATTCTGGAAGTAACCACAGAAGTGAAAAAGATATTCTGGAATCTAAAGTTGAAGATCTAAGGGATCAGTTAGTAAAAGTAAAATAGAAAAGTTAAGAAAATAGGTTCAAAGTCAGTGTCAGCTTAAAAAAAATTAGAACGTAACTGAATAAGTAAGTCTCCGGATGACCGCAGTAAAACTGGAAGAAGTTTTTAGTTGAACCACATACTTGGTAATTTTAATTATTTATTCTAGAGAAAGAGATCGAGGGTAGTGTCCAAAGATTTCTTGAAAAATATTATACCAGTGATTTTTAAGACTAGGAATTTGAAACCAGTGTTGAACTAGAAAAACGCGATGAAGCCTGTAGTGGGTTCAAGAATATCCTTCAAGAACGGCTAAGGAAAGTTCTTAATACGAATTGAGATGACCCAGAGACATTCATGTTCAATCAGCAGAAGAAGCAGTTCTAAAGAAAATAAAAAACGTCTCGCAAATGATTAAAGAAACTTCTAAAAAAAAGATAATAAATTTGAAAATGTTTCTAGAAGATTACACGAGAAATTTATAAATGTCTTGCAAATGATTAAAAAAACTTCTAAAGAAATTTCTAGATAGAATGATGGAAGATTCAATGAAACGTCTCAAATTAATAAAGAAGAAGCTAGACAAAATGACGAGAAATTCGAAAATGTGTCTAAAAGATTCGACGAGACTTGTTAAATACTTACAGAAGTATGTATTCAAAACAATGAGAAATTTGAAGAAGTTTCTAGAACATTCGATAAGGTAGAAGAGAAGATCAAACAATTAGAGACTATGATCACTAAGATGAAAGTGCTACCAACAGTTAATACAGTAGTATTAGATCCGGTAGTGAAAGAAGAATCACAAGAAGAAGACGAAACGACACATTATATAAGATTTAAATTTCCACTATTTGGTGGTGGATTCTTGGTATATATACCTTAGACAATTTAAAGCTATTGCGACAACCAATACAATACAACAATACAACAAGAAAAAATAAGAAAACGCAGTTTCCTTGACTGCTGCTTTACGTGGCGATACTGCGGATATCCTAAGATTAATTTCTAAGGGTCAAGAAAAATGTTATCAGTTTACTCGACTAGACAAACGTTACGGAGATGCTAATCTACAATAAGTTTACAAAGTACAAATAAGAAGTAGAATTTAACGTGCAAGTGAGATTTTGCAAGAATTTGAAGCAGATTTTGCTCGTATAGCGCCATTGACTATCCTGAGACACCAGACAACATATTGGAGGGAATTGCTGTAGATACCTTCATCAATGGGTTGAGACACAGTGAACTACAGAAAGCTTTACGACTAGCAAGACCGAAAATTCTAGATAAAGCGCTTGCCATTACCTTCGAACACGAAACAGCTAGTCAAGTTTCACGGAGCTATCGAGTCATCATCTTCATCATCATTCAGCCTATACTCGTCCACTGCTGAACATAGGCCTCCCGTAGTTCACCCCACAAATTTATGTCATGAGCCGCCTGCATCCAATTTTGATGTGTCCGTTTCAGGTCATCCGTCCATCTTGTTGGTGGTCGTTCTCTATTCCTAAAGGCATCTTGTCTGGGTCTCCACTCAAGAATGCGTTTTGTCTATCTGCCGTCCTTCGTTCTCGCGACGTGCCCTGCCCAGTTCCATTTTAAGGTTGATATTCTTTTGATTGCGTCGGTTACTCCCGATCTACGGCGCAATTCTGTGTTGGGTATTCGATCTCTCAGGGTTAATCCCAACATGGACCGTTCCATTGCCCTCTGTGTTGTTCGAATTTTGTTTGCGGACGTCTTAGTAAGTGTTAGCTTCTCCGCACCATAGGTTAGAACCGGCAGCACACATTGATCGAAGACTTTTCTCTTCAAGCAGATGGGAAGAGCTGATTGGAAAACATCTCTTAGCTTTCCATAAGCTGCCCATGTCAACCCTATTCTACGTATTAGTTCATTGGTCTGGTTATCTATACTTAAGCGAATTTCGTGTCCCAGATATTTGTATGCTGATGTTTGTTCTATACTTGTTCCAGCTGTGTTGATGTTCTCACTCAGAACAAGGTTTGTCATCACTTGTGTTTTTGAGTTATTGATCTTTAAACCCACTTGTGTAGAGGCATGGTAGAGTCTTTCGCACATTTCGATGGCATGATCTATGCGGTCTGTTATCAGGACTATATCGTCCGCGAACCTGAAGTGACTAAGCTGCTCTCCATTTATGTTTATGCCCTTTTCGTCTAGGTTTGCACGCTTACACATGTATTCCAATAATGTTGTAAACAGTTTGGTGAAATGGTGTCGCCCTGGCGAACTCCACGATGAATGTTGAACTTGTGTGTATCTTCATGGAGTCTGACGCATGCCGTGGCATTATCATAGATATTTTTGATGACAGTGGTGTAGCGGTAAACTATTCGGCACTCTTTTAAAGCTTCTAGCATTTTCTGGTGGTTTACTGTGTTTTTTAAATTAAATAACTATTAATTAAATAAATAATTAAATACTGTGTTAATTAAATTATAATTTCGCCCTTTATGTTTTTCAGTTTGTAAATATTTTTCTTTCCTATTTGCTGTTTCCTTCTGAAGACTTTTAAACTTTTGTTCTCTTCTATGACTTTTGATATCTCTCTGGTGTTGTAGTCTGTTATATCTTTTCTGATGTTCTTAGTGGTTTTTTTGTTTAGTTGTCTCATTTTTGTTAGATTGGTTCTGTATTTCGAGTTTAGCTATCGAGTACGAAACTTAAAAGAGCGACTAACAAAACGATAAACGTCTGGAAGAAATCGTACGCAAAGTATTTCGTAACACGTTGCCGAAGAGACGCGAACAGAGATGTTGGAATGGTGAAGATGTAGGTCACATTCGCCAATTTCAAGAAAATAATACAACAGTCAAAAAGCTAGAACAGATCGCACACTGGCTGGAAAAGTCATTCAAATGCTTATACTCAGTCAAGACGGCCATGCAGTGTAAATTATAATTACTGATTATAAGAACGACGAAGTTTTAAATTAGAAGAAAGACTTTGCCCCGTGAGACGAACCACCGTCATTAATGGTCAATGACAGCCTTGAAAGCTACAAGACACTCAAGTAGATGGTTCATAAGAGTATCGGATTGGGTGCGTCGAAGTCGAAGTGTAGAACCTTCTTAGCAAGACATTAGTGCATTGGACTCAAACAGGATTGAGTAATTTGAGAAGACAATGTTTTGAATGAGATAAAGAGGCGCTCAGCGCCAAAGTGAACTAACCTCCAAAACAACAAAACAGAGAAAATGGCGTTTTAAGATTTTGTACTTCTAACATACTTACTTTCAGAATTACTAATTAGCCAAGAAAAAATAATTTAACGTTTATTTGATGCTTTTTACTAACCAATTGGTATTCTAGTTCAAATATAGCGGAATATTACTTATTGATAATAATAAAAGGAGCATAGCACACTTTGGCATTTAAAGTTTTGATGACATAGGCTCTTACCATTACTTCCATTGGTAGTTCTGTCGGTATAGCATTATTGAATTAATATACACAATTTTTTAATAAGAGATATTTCTTCTAATTAAATTATGTTTAATTTATAAAAATTACAAATCTGTTCAATACACATTGGGTTTTATTGTCCAAAAACTAACAAATAAAACAAAAATCTAAAGAAACAGAAAAATGGGGGTTAGATTGGTTTGGCATAATGGTTGCTCCTGAGGTTTGGTGGTTAGGCTATCACTCTATGTATAATAATAGTCTAGCTCTTAAAAAACTTGGAAAGATCTTTCATCATTAAGAATAATTAAGTTATCTTCAATCTTTTCATGATTCTCAGCATCTATTATTTCACCTTTATTGAATATGTTTACATTGTTTTCATTATGAACATCATTAATATTAATATCTAGGTTGTCTAGCTCTTGAAAAACTTCGTAAGACCTTTCACCATTAATAATAAAGTTATCTTCATCGTGTGAATTTTGTATGACTCTGTAGTCATTTACATCTACCTGGTCTACCTCTTTTAAATCCTCAGTAGATCTTTCATCATTGATAATAATCAAGTTACCTTCATTATGTGAATCGTGTATGTCCATGTACTCTCTTACAAGATCAGTATTCATCTGTTCGTCTTCTCTTAAACTAATAAGAGTATCATTAGAAAACAACTCTCCAATGGAGGCATTCTCAGTGGTAACAATTTGCTCTTTGTTTAATATTTCATTTGTTAAACTTCTTTTATTGTTATTCTTGTATATTTTATTATTATATGCAGATAATCCTGCATTCTCATTATAACCAGTCAAAATAGGCCTACTAAAAAGTGTTCAAAAGCAGATAATTAAGCAGATAAATAATAAGCAAATATTTAATAGAAGTTTCTTGGCTGTCTTCAATGATAGGATTTTCAGATATTTGATTAATCAATATTTTCGTATTTTTATCAAAGCTGTTATTAGATCCCGGTATTGGTGGTTTATTGATGCTAACTTCTATTTCATCTTGTATTGTTTCTGAAAAGAATGGATTGGATTAGGCAACTTTAAGACAATTTTCAATGCCATAGTAGCTTAACCATTAAAAAACCACCAAGCGACAGTTGATAAAATCCCAAAGTAGCATAAGTGCCATAAAGTATAAAAATGTTAAGATACAATTAAAATAACGCTTTTAGAATCGCTAAGTTAGTGAAAACCAATATTACAGTATATACTTAAGCTTTTTACACTTAACGCGCTAAGTGGTTACAATTTAATAGTATTAAAGTTAAAAAACTACTCGCATAGGATTGATTCATAACGTGTATGTTAAATATTAATTTTAATTTTGCTATCGTACATTTATTCAGATTAACAATTTTGTATTCATAAAATGACAATATTTTATAGCCCTGCATAAATTACATAGACTATTTCCCGTTATTTACAAAACTATAGAATTTATTTGAAACTATTACATGATTTAAACTAAAAATGTAAACATAATTTAAATTGGGTTGTAATCAATAATAATGGCTTACCTTTGCTATTAGCTCAGTTTGTAACACATCAGTACACTTCTCTACCATTTTTATTGTTCTTTTACTTCCTTATATTTAACCACCAAAAGTCGTATGTAAAAATCACTTCATAAGCCTACTTATTTAAAAACACAATGTATTTGCCGCTTAAGTCAATTTGGCATGGAACGTATCAGAGGTTGACAGTGGTGCCAAACTAAACAACTGTTGATAAAAAATTCCTCACTACATTTTTGTCTGTTAGACTTCTAAGGCATTATAGTATCAGTAATATGGATTCATTTAAGAGCGTATTCAGGAAATCTCCAAATTGTCGCTTAGTTCACTTTGGCGCTGAGCGCTTCTAAATATGTTTTAGCAATACGGCAGGAATGTTATCTGAGCCAGCATTGGAATTTTTTTAAGTGATCAAGATAGAAGTAACAGCATGGGAGCTTGAGATGGGATCTTTTCAATGTCGAATAAAGAACAAGTAGTTTTTTCTCTTTTTATCTTGATGTTTAGGAAAAAAGCGACGTAATTTTTACTTGATGAGAGATTTCCACAGACAGCAGCTAGAGTATCTGCATTTTTTTTACAGAAGGTATAAGGTTGCGTTATCCTTCACGCTTATAACTAAGAGTCAACGTAGAACCTTTGATATTAATTTCATAATAAAAAGTAGCTGGTGTAAATGTAAAACCAAAAATATTTTTTTTTGTGATAAATGAGTGCATGGAATAAAATTGCTTCTGATTTTTAAATCTACTAGTTTTAAATATATATTTAATAACACGTTGTGCAAAATATAAATGTTTAATATCATTCTAAAGTTTAATATTAGAGAATTTTTGCACATTTGCTGAATATTTAAATAAATCGGCAGTTACAGCGGGTCGGTTACGTGACAGGGTTATAACTTTGGTATTAGAAGTGATGGAAATTTTGCGCTCCACTTTCGGGGTGGTTAAATATTGGTAATGGTGGAATATCGATTTTGATCGTCTACATTGTATCCTTAGTATAAGAAATCGTATATTTTAAATTTTAAAATCTTTTAATTTGTAAAGTAAAAGTAAAATTTGCAAATATTTATATTTTGCTTTTTTATTTCTGCGGATTCTTACCAAACTGTACTATAACATCTTACCTTAAAAAATTAGTATACAACTAATTCTTAAGCCCCCTAGATGCCTTAGAGTCTGAGATATAGCTCTTAAAAGAGTCAAAAATAGCTCTTTTTTACTCTTATATTATAACAGCTATTTTTATGAGCCCAGTAGACCTATTTTTCCACGCAGACCGTATCTTGTCTGCGTGGCTTTTATGGACAAAGGAACCGATGCTTCCAACTGATGTAGTTTCAGAGCCAGTCTAATAAAATATATGCCCTGATTTCAGTGTGTTTTAAGTTTCACTACAGTTTCATCTTACAGGATACAGAAACTCCTTAAAATCTGTTAAAGCTTACCCAGGCGCAGATGTCTTTTCAGACCATAACCCTCTAATAGCGCAAATGAGTATTAAACTACAAAGATTGGAGCAGAAAAGAAGAGCAAATCAGATAGACGTCAGTCATTCATGTAACCTGGAGGTAAAGGAAAAACTGCAAAAATGTATTAATAATAATTTGAAAATACTTCATGAAAAAGAAACATCTCAGCCAACGAGATAGATAAAAAATGGCAAAACGTAAAAATGGCGGTAACAGGTCCTGCGAAGAAAATTCTGACTAAAGAAAAACCAAAAATAAAGCAAAGGTGGATGACTAATAAGATCCTTCTTTTCATTAACAATTGGAGAATAATGAACTGAAAAAACAAACAAAGGTATAAACAAATACAGAAAGAAATCAAAATAGAAACCAGAATAGCAAAAGAAGATTTTTATAAAAGAAAATGTAAAGAAATAGAGCAATTGCAGGCAAAACATGATATTTTTAATGTACATAAAAAAGTGAAAGAACTTGCAGGTACACAAAAACGTAAGTAGCCAAATACCCTGTATAATGTCAACGGAAACATAATAACAGAACTAGAAGAACAGTTGAAGATATGGAAAAACTATATTGACAAACTATTTGCTTTGTTGTCTATGATAGACAACAATCTGAGCGAAGTAACATACAAGGAGACGAAGGTCCAGAAATAACGGAGGAGGAAGTAATGTACGCACTAAAAAGAATGAAAAATGGTAAAGCCCCAGGACCAGATGAAATATCAACGGAAATCCTTATACTAATAGAAAAAGATCAATTTACATTTTAGTTGAACTTTTCAATAGCATTTATTCATCAGGAAAAATACCACAAGAATGGCTTTTATCCACCTTTTTTATTAGCCAAAAAAAGATAAATGCCAAACAATGTAGTGATTACCGTACAATCAGTCTGATGAGCCATGTACTGAAAATATTCCTGAAAATTATACACTCTAGAATACACAAAAAAACTGGAAGTTGACATCAATAATACTCAGTTTGGATTCCGAAATGGACTCGGAATAAGAGAGGCGTTGTTTGCACTGAACGTTATATCACAAAGATGTCTTGAAATAAATCAAGATGTATTCATGTGTTTCATAGATTACAGCAAGGCCTTTGATAAAGTGCGGCATGATCAACTAATCAGACTCCTGACAGAAAAGAATTTAGATAAACGATACATCCGACTAATGGCAAATATGTGCTACAATCAAAAAGCAGTAGTGAGAGTAGAGAATAATACCACTGAAGAAATTGAAATAAAGCGAGGTCTGAGACAAGGGTGTATACTGTCACCAACCCTGTTTAATCTCTATTCCGAAGACGTAATGAATAGAGCACTCTCTGAGCAATCCGTAGGTATTAAAATAAATGGTGTTAGATTAAACAATCTGAGATTTGCCGACGACACCATTCTTATCGCAGAAACACTTAAAGAGCTACAGATATTAGTGAATAAGATAGCAGACTGCAGCGAAGAATATAGACTATCTTTGAACATAAAGAAAACTAAATTTATGGTAATATCGAAATCAACACAAAATGTACAAAATTTCCAAAAAGACAACGATACCTCAGCAGAAATCGAAATAAGAATAGAAAAAGCCAGATTTATATTCACTAAAATGAAGAGAATGTTCTGCGGAAGAGATTTGAGCCTTGAAATGAAACTTCGCCTGATGAGAAGTTACGTACTTTTCTGTGCTGTTCTACGGAATGGAGTCATGGACGTTAAAAATATTGATACCAAAAAATTAGAGGCATTTGAACTGTGGATGTATCGCAGAATCCTGAGAATATCATGGACCGAGAGTGTTACAAATGTCGAGGTCTTGAAAAGAATGAATAAAGAAAAGGAAGTCATATTTACGATTAAAAAACGAAAACTGCAATACTTGGGACACATTACAAGAGGCGAAAGATATGAACTGCTTCGAATAATTATGCAAGGGAAAATAGCAGGAAAAACGTCCATAGGAAGAAGATGAAACTCCTGGCTAAAGAATCTACGGGAATGGTATAGATGTAGCAACAACGAATTGTTTCGGTCAGCAGTTTCGAAAATACGTATAGCCTCGATGATCGCCAACCTTCGGAACGAAGATGGCACTTGAAGAAGAAGAAGAAGAAAGTTTCACCTCTCTTACTAACTTCGCTGATACCTATGACATCCCATTTAATTTTAAATATTAAAGTTTCTATTTCTGTGAATATCTTCTCGGAGAGTAGACTTCTGGCATTGTATGTACTAACGTAAAGAGTTATGAATTATCAGACAAACTAATAAATTATTGTGAGCTTTTGGACGCATCTTACTCACCTGGGATAAATCTGAATTTGCTTTTAAATCTAGCATGGCTGTTTTAAGGGGTAAATTTTCATTAATACACCACACCTGCCAGACGGGTTGGTGATCGTTCGTAGTATCACAGCCGGTTAAATCAACTTGATTGCCGCCTGCTACTTTTTGGTACCGCACCTGTCAGGAATTGTATTCCTGAGCCACGGGCCACTAATGACACAGCTGCTGACCAGTGTTATATCCTCAGTTAATTCACGGGTACTTATTTGGCTAAGCCCTATTCGTACGTACCCTTTATATCTACAGGACTTTCTTATCAGTCATTGGGACGCGCCGTGTCGGGGTTAAGGACTTCCCCGCCCAGTCTGTCTTGCGTAGAGTACTGATGGACCCCTACTTAGTTTAGAGTTCTTCCTCTACGTACGCTGAGACCAGCTCGGATTTGGTAGAGTTAACCCTGTAACAAATACCTAGTGGAAAGTAGAATAAGAGCCAGAATCTCAAACATTAAAAAAGGAAATGGATCCAAAATTA